TCAGACTAAAACCTCCATAAACTGTGAGCTAAATAAACTTTACCTCTTTAACTGTGTGTTGAGTATTTTTGTCCCAGCAACGCAAGAGGAAAGTAACCAAGACAGAATTTGGTACTGGGAGTAGGATGTACAATATGATCAGTTGTTAGAAGAAGAGAAGGCTAGGTCTTGGTTTATGGATGGCTCTGCACATTATGTAGGTACAACCCACAAGTGGACAGCTGCAGCATCATAGTCCATTTCTGGGATATCCCTGAAGGACAGTGGTGAAGGGAAATCATCACAATGAGCAGAACTTTAGGCAGAGCATTTAATAGTACATTTTGCCTGGAAGGAGAAGTGGCCAGATGTGCAACTATATACTGATTCATGGGCCATAACCAATGATCCGGCTAGATGGAAAGAACATAACTGGAAAACTAGTGACAAAAGATATTTGGGAAAGAGGCATGTGGGAAGACTTCCCCATGTTTCCAATGTAAATCTTTTCTTAAATGTGACTTCAGCATAAGAAGGCTTTACCAATGAAGTAGGTAAGATGACTTGATCTGTAGATAGTGGTCAACCTTCTTCTTCAGCCATTCATCATTGCCCAATAAGCCCATCAATAGAGTGGCCACAGTGCCAGGGATGGAGGTTAGGCATGAGCTCAGTAACATGGACTCCCACTCACCAAGGCTGATCTGGCTACAGCCACTGTGAATACCTAATATGCCAACAGCAGAGGCCAAAACTTACAGAGCCTTTCCCAGTCCTCGTCATAGTCCAAGAAGTAATCCCATGTAAAAGTTATTGGAATTCTAGCAAGTTGATTTCAATCTACCAGTTCCAGTGCAACCCACGATGAGGATAAAGACATTAACCCATATTTATCCACAAAGTGCAGGAAAGGAAATGGACTAATCAGCTCTGTACTTATCAGTACATGGATTAGGACCAGGTTTAGGCAAAATGGAGGCAGTTGATCTTTTTACATGGAGAGTCTTCCAGGTAGTCCTTCACAAACACTGAGTCTCTGATATGGCATCACTCCCTGGAATGAATAACCTGTGACCTGGTGGTAGGCTGATTATATGGAACTACTTTCATCACGGAAAGGACTGCACTTTGTCCCCACTGGCATAGACATGTATTCTGAATATGGATTTGCCTTTGCTGCACATAATGCTTCTTCCAAAACTACTTATCTGTGGATTTACAGAATGCCTTATCCATTGTCATAGAATGCCATATAGCATTGTCTTTGACCAAGGAACACATTTTACAGCCAAAGAAGTGAGGCAATGGGCTCATGATCATGGAATTCACTGGTCTTACCATGTTCCTCACCATTCAGAAGCAGCTGGATAGAAAGGTGAAATGGTCTTTTGAAGACATCTTTATGGTGTCAGCTAGATGGCACTAGCTTGCAGGGCTGGGGTAAGGCTGCATATGTGTATCAGCACCCACTGTATGGTATTATGTTGCCCATAGCCAGATTCATGGGTGCAGGAGTCAAAGGGTAGAGGTAGGAATGGTACCACTCACCACCCATAGTGATCCACTAGCAAAACCTTTGCTTTCTGTCCTCATGACCTTATGCTCTGCAGGCTTAGAGGTCTTAGTTCCAGAAACTTAGTTGCCTTCAGTTTGCATGTTGACTCCAGGAAGGCTTGTACCAGGAAGCACAATGATGGTCATGCCCTGGTCATGCCTCTGAGGAAACAAGCTAAAAAGGGAGTCACAGTGCTGTCAGCAGTGACTGTCAAGGGTAAATTAGACTACTACTTTATAATGGAGGAAATTAAGAATATACATGGAGTTGCGAGAGCCCTTAGGGTGCCTCTTAGTATTGCTATGCCATTATTAAAGTCAGTGGGAAATTACAACCTAATATAGGCAGAATAAAAAATGGCCCAGAGCCTTCAGGAATGAAGGTATGGGTCACTCTACCAAGGAAAGAATCAAGACCTGTCAAGGTGTTTGTTGAAGGTCAAGGGAATACAGAATGGCAGATGGAAGAAGGCAGGTCTAAATACCAGCTATGACCCCTTGATCAGCTACAGAAAAGAGAATTATAATTGTACTATTTTTCCCCTAGAATGGTTCTACTGTAATATAATGTTGATAGACTTAACACTGGCTCTTAAGGATTGTTAATCTGTGTAAAATGTTCAAGTTGTAAAATGATAATAAGCGTCATCCAACTTTCCATTCTGGTGAGGGAACTGGTGCATCTTCATTTGTATGCAGCATAGTTCTAACAAGGTAGGCATAATTAAAATCAAGTTTTTCTATTTGGAGACCAATTTAAAAAAATATTGTTTGGTCCCCAAGTTGACAAGGGATGAGCTGTAACGGTGATACACTGTGTCAACTTGAGAAGTCTAGAAGCTTAACTACTTAACACAGCAGTTGTGCATCCTGGGGTGTAGAGGACATGCCCTTACTGCTCTAGGACGCTATCAACTGTGTCAACTTGAGAAATTTAGAAGTTTAACAAAATAATACAGCAGGGGCCCAGGACCCAGCCCGTGCAAGAGGAGGGCACTGAGATGGTGTAGGTATAAAAGACTCCCCTCCCAGGGCAGGTACTCTGCATACAATAAAAGGGAAATGAGAAAGGACTGACTACTGGTTCTTGGAGGAGCGCCAGTCTTTGTCTTCAGTTTGGATGTTGTTTGCATGTTTCTGGTGCAGTCTGTTCAGCTTCCACCTGGGACTCTTCAACCTTCCAGTATAGATTCTTCAGCATTCCATTGCAGACTCTTTGGCCTCGTGATACTGTCTTACACAGAACACTGTAGTGAGCTCTCGACCTTGGACTGGACCCTTTGGTCTCCAGCATGTAGACACACTTTGCTGGCTTCTTCATCTAACTCCGGGGCTGACCAATGTAATCCAATCTTGTGATTTCTCATACATTTGCATATCTTGTGTTATATCTGTTTCTCTAGTAAACCCTGACTGATTCTGATCCCTATCTTCACAAAAACAGTTTCTGAGCAGTATCAAAGTATAAAGTGCATTTTCTTAAGAAGCTGACTGCAGTAAATGGCTTAAGCAAGCTGTAAAAAGGTTTGGAAGCCTTTGAACTCAGACAAGGATATCTCTTGCAGCTGAAAGTCATACAGCTCTGGAACTACTTAATCATAATAAGCAATGTTGCTATGAAACCATAGAACTTGCTAGCAAGGCAATTGGCTCACACACCAATTATATTAGGACCTCTATATATTAGATTATTCCATGAAATACATATTGGCTTAAGAAGCCAAAATTCAAACAGTTCAATTCTCAGAATTTACTTCAGTGGCTCGGCTCTCTCTCATTCTTCTTGTTTTGTTTTTTTAAGTATCAGCTTTATTTTCAAATAGATGTGTGAGATGATCCCAGCAGTTTCGGTGCTCATACCTACATACTGTAAAATGAAGGAACATTTTTCATCTTCCAGTAGAATCCACTAGCAAACACCAACTTGCTTATCAGTGGTACAAATTCCTGAATTAATTCTTTGCCAAGAGGATAACCTTACTCTAGAATCAGGCCCATCCCTGACGCTGTGGCCGATGCAATCTTCCCTATAAAATATAACATAAACTGTATGTTAGAATCATTTCTACAACAAAAATCAGGGTTGGGAAAGAAGGGAGAGATGAAGATTTTTCAGAAAGTGATAAATGTCTACTAGAAATAAACCTTTAGTTTTGTTTTAGTTCAGACTCAGGATAATATGGGAGATAATCTCTAACTGTAAAAAGGGCTAAAGTAGCTTTCAAAAACACATAAAATATGGAAAAGAAAAGGAAAAAAGTTGCAACAAGACACAAGCCAATTACACAAAATTCACTCAATATGATCCTGTTAATATGTGGGCTGCAAATTTAACTATGAGCTTCCTGTCAATAAAAAGAGCAAAATAATCACTGTCAGTAAATCAAGCCTCTTTGGGTTTCCAAGTGACAAAGATCCAAATCAAACTGTCATAAAAAACAAAAAAGAAATATATAGGCTCATTTAATACGAAAATCCATGCATGGATCTGGCTTTAAAAACAGTTATAGAGACTGGATGTCCTCTGGGTGTTATCTGTACATTAGTTCCACTTTCAAGAAGGCTTTTACCAGTTGTTAAAAATGGTCACAAAAATTTTGATCATACATGGTTCTGTGGCCAATAGCAGGAAAAAACATTTTCTGACAGCTTCAGAAAATGATTTTTGGTAGGACTCTAAATGGCCCTGTTTCTGTTGTTCCCATCTTTCGACCAGGAAATGTGGACAAAAGAATGAGGCATTCTGACTGGCTACCCTGGGAAAGGTTTCCTTTCCCATGTGCAAGGAAAGTGAAGCCATCTGACTGATAATCCCAGCAGGAAAGCACTGTTATTCAGGTGGAACTTTTGAAAGAAAAAGGCAGACAAAAAGAACAAGTTTTATAGTAATGTAAGTTGACATACATAAAACATAAACAAAGCCATTGTTTAGAAGTCTATGCCTAAGACTAAGACTTAAGGACCTAATAACATAGCCGTATATTTTATACAGCTTTTTTTCTAATACATTGCTGGTATAGACCAGTGGCATATTGCAATATGGCAAATTGGCAATATGGCTTTCTTTTTAAGAATGAGGCACAGAGGAATATGATCAACTATTTATGATTTTGCATTACCCCCCATTCCCATCGGAGATCAAACTCTGACCTTGCACTTGCCAGGCAGGAGCTTATGCCACTGAGCTAAATTCCCAGCCCAACTATTTACGATTTTACCTAAGGTTAAAATTCAGCACCAGCAAGAGTATGAACGAAATGAATATCCCTTGGATATTTTCATTAGAACTCTTGTCTGTAGGGAACATAATTCCATTTAAAGTACTTTAGCCAATTTATTGAGATATAAGCTGGAGAACAAATACTATTTTGCTTCTACTGACATCTTTAACCATTCCATCTATGTCAAATCTCTTTCACTGATGTATAAAACATTCCAGCCCAATCTAATCAAAACTTTCTCACATCTATTTTTAAACACAGCTTTATTGAGATACAAATTAAGTACAATTCGACTACTTAAAAGCGTTCAAGTCAATGATTTTTAACACATTCAGAGTTAATACAACTATTGCAATTTGGAAAATCACTTCACAAAAATACTCCAAATCTAATTTAAAGCTTTTTTTCTTTCATGGTTGAGACATCAGCTACTGCTGGGGAACAAAATATCACTTCTTTTAGTATTTTTCCATGTTATTTAACTCCTCCTCCCCTATTGGGATGGGGAGCTAAGAGCCAGGGGCAAAGGTATGAAGATTATTTACTAAGCTGGTAAGGTAACCAATCTTCCACTTTCCCAAGACGCAGGCCTTTCGTTTCTACAATTGGAAACGTTCTAAGCAAACTGGGATGGCTAGCCACTATAATGAATTGGTGCTATAGTTCACTTTTGCTTGATCAACTGCTGATCACCACATTCTGTACTTTGTCTCAGTCCCTGAAATCCTGTTCTTTAGCTGCATGCTCTTCCACAACTAGTATTATTAAGTTTGGTTACTGGGTTAAGTTGGCAACAACCAGACAATTATAATTCAAGTTTTTACTTTAGAAATATGAGAAGGGCCCAATGTTCCCTCTGAGATACTCTGAAAAAAGTTTTTTTCTTCCACTTCTGACAGTTTCAGAGGCACTAAACACCTGGAAGCCATGTGGAGACTTATGCTTTGATTATAGCAAGCTGTAGCCCCAGGTCCATCCCAAATGGCTCCACCCTGTAGCCACTCTGGATGACTCACAACAATTGCAGCCATCTCCAATCTGGCCTGTGAGGGCTCCTGCCCTACCATGACTAAGCAAAACTCTGCTGTTAGCTGGCAGGCTACTGCACTTGTGTAACCCTGCTTTTTGCCTACATAAGCAGCTTTTCCCATACCTTTATCTGAGCAGTCTGTGTATTGCTTCCTCTTATGCTGAAGCATACACTTAATAAAGCCTCTTTTATAGATAGTGTATTTTGCCTTTTTATGATTTCTACCTTTATTAAAGGAAGCTGAGCAGGTTATACCAGCAACTGGTAACACTAAACTTGCTAGTGCTAAAAGAGATCAGCAACCAGGGCTGGTAACACTGAGGTCAGGTGGCAGCCAGAGAATGGTGAAAAGCAATGTAAAATTGTTGATAGCTACTGGCTTTGGCTGCTAGAAGAGTTCCAGAGAGCTGCTGGTATGTACAGAACTGGCTTCTGATGGCCAAGAAAGCAGCAAACAGGGCTGCTAAACAGCTGAAAACTGCTGGCATTGTGATTTAATCCTAATTAAGTAAAACAACCCTCAGCTGATGGTAACATTATGACTAGAACACTGTCTATAGGGTATTTTCTCATACCATGTGGAAATTTAGTTCCTAGTCAGTGTTTTATCTGAATTATAGCAGTGATTATCTCTAATTGATTTTTCATTAGGACTTGAAAAGTAGTAATTCTCTAAATTGAAAGATAAATAATGTTATAAATATTCATATGGCAAGTTTTTGTATAGATATTTATTTACACTTTCCTGGGTTATGTACTTAATTTGTTGTTATTGTTTTTGCCGTACTAATTAAACTTAGGGTTTTATGTATGCTAGGCAAGTGAATCACCACTGAGCCAGATCCCTAGCTCACGCAATGGATTGAATGCTATAGTTCTGTGTAATAGGGGTCTCAAGTACCAGGAGAACCACAATCAGAAATTATATTTTGTTATTAAATAAAGCACTAACTGGCACTTTAAAGCACCTACTTTGTACTTTGTATGAAATACTGGAGAGAAGACACAAGTTAATATGAGCTTTCTACTTAAAGATGATCTCATGGAGATAGATGACCCCAAATTAAAATGAAATATGGTGACTAGAATGTAATACAGAGATTTGATTTTTCCATGGTGCTCCAGACTTACTATTCTGAATTGCCAATGCTGATAATGATAATGTTCTGCAGAGGCTGAGTTCATTATGGGTGTGTGGGAGAGAAAGAGAACAGAGGAGAGGAGAAAAAACCAGCAAATACATCAGTGGGATCCAGGAATACATTAAAATTTTCATAATAAAAAGCAGGAAGCGAGAAAATTTTAAATGGTTTTAAAGACTTTTTCTTTCATTAGATTCATCCCTATTTTAAAAACATTCTATTAAAAAAACCTTAAAAAAACTTTATTGAGGTATTAATACTGACTATATTTAAAATGTACAAATTGGATGTAGTGGCACACACCTGTAATCCCAACCATCAGGAGGCTGAGGCAGGAGGAGAGTTGCAAATTCAAGACCAGCCTGGGTTACAACATGAGCTCAAGGCCAGCTTGAACTGCATAGTGAGATCCTGTCTCAAAAAGACAAAAAAAAAAAAAAAAAAAAAAGTACAATTTTTATATATTTTCTAACTCTGTAGGCAGAAACCTCTTTGATCACTCATTAATTCTGTTTTTTAGATGTTCTTCATATGATTTGATGTTTTGCAAAAATTTATTTTCTTTCTAATCCTTAAATTTTTTATTTTGCTGTACTATAGTAACTGTAGTTACCAATAATAAATGAAAATGGTGATAGTGGGTGGGCACCTTGTCTCATGTCCAATCTCAGGACACAAGTACTTATTATTTCATTATTAAATACATTTGTTTTAACCAAGTAAGATAATTTTAAAAGAAATTTTCTTTAAAGATGTCCATAACTATTTAGTCTATAGTTACTGCTGGAATGTTTTGGTATTAAGTAAAAATAACTAAGAGAGTATAAGCACAAAGATCAGTCTAAAGCCAGATGTGGTGTCACACTCCGGTCATTCCAGTATTCGAAAGGCAGACGCAGGAGGATCTTTGGGAATTTAAGGCCAGTCTGGTCTACACAGAGAGTTCAGTAACAGCTTGAATTGCTTTGCAAGACCCTGTCCAGAAAACAATAAACAAACAAACAAAGATCAGTCTACATTCTGAGAGGTGGCTAAGTAGGAAAAAAAAAAAAAAACAAACAAACAAACCTGAGGCTAGGCATGATGAACACATGCCTGTAATCCCAGCACTTGGGAGGTTGAGGCAGGAAGATAGCTGTGAGAAGTTCAAGCCCAGCCTATCTACATAGTGAGTTCAAGGCCAATCTGCACTATAAAGTGAGACACTGACACTACAAAGTAACACACACACTATCTCAATCACCTCCACCAAACTATAATCAAGTACGGAAGGATGGGAAATCACCACAGGCCAAGAGTAAATCAGCACCAGAAGTGACACGATGTTGTTACCTTAAGGATAAAATTTAAGATACTACATAGAAGTATAGAAATAATGTAAATATCCAAAGACACAGCTATTTTTGTTTTTGGTACCGGGGATCAAACTCATGACCTCGCACTTGGCAGGCAGGCAGTTGTACTGCAAAGCTATATCCCCAGCCCAACACGGCTATTTTAAGCTGTTATTTAGTAGGAGTTTTTGTTAGGATGTGTAACTCCGTGTAAGTTAAAGTAGATATGGAGCAATTACTCTCTGTTTTTCTCTGAGGTATTACATAAAGGATACAAAAAAGTTAAAGATGAAATATGATTGCTACTACTAATTTTTTCTATGGAAAAGTATATAATGGTTGAAACAGTATTAAAACTGAAAAGAATTTAAAATTGGAAAGTTAAACTCTAGGGATTGTTGTTTTTTTTAGACAGGGTCTCACTACAGAGTTCAGGCTGTCTCAAACTCATGGTTATCTCCTACCTTAGCCTCCTGAGTGCTAGGATTACAAGCATGTACACTATGCACGGTTGTCATTACTTACCAGTCATAGTCCTGGTAGATGACAGATGGCATAATTCAATACAGAAATTTCAAGAAACTCTGGTAAAAGAACTATACATAAAACTATGAGCATAAGAAAACCAACAAGGGAGCCAGGTGTGATGGAATACATCTGTAATCCCAGCATTTGGGAAGCTGAGACAGGAGGACTGCTGCAAGTTCAAGGCTAGCCTGAACTACACAGTGAGTTCAAAGCCAGTTATTACCACTCATAGCCTCACAAGGCAAGGCGGAGGAACTAGTGATCAGAATTCAGACAGGGCACGAAGAGTAACAACAGGGAAGACACAGCTAACTCACAACAGTATGACAGGGATGGTACTTCCCACCTTCCTAACTCTCGTTGGTGCTTTCTACTGACGAAGCCCAACCAAAATATGAGGGGCAAGGAGCCACTGATGTAATTCATACATATTGGCCTGCCAGGGCACAAAGCAGAACAAAGATAGAAATAAATCTACAAGCACTAAGAGAAGATACACAGAACAGTTACCAAAGTCATGAGAGAAAGGACCAGTAGATAGGTCCTAACTCCCAAATCCAGTGTTCTTTTTCCATCATTCAAAGTAATTGATACTGATATGTATACAATATGGTAAGCGTGATGGAAGACACACAAAAGAAGACACAGCTCCTATCCTTGAAATGTTAAATATTATTAAGAAGTAACATACACACATGAAATTATCAGTAAATATTTTAAAACAGAGCTGGAGTACAGAAAAATCAAGGGATTACATTATGCTCCACATGGTAAGAGGGCACAAAATAAGTAAGGGCTTCAACTGGAGGGGGCAGGTCAATATATTAAATATGATTATCTATACTTGCATTTGTATGTGACACTGAGTCTAAGAACTTTCTTACCCTGCATTCCAAGTCTGGGAATTTTTATGTTGCACACTTAACTCTGAAACCTTGGCATCTTGCCCAAGGTGACTACATATACAATGAAAGAAAAAATTAAGGATAAAGCAAAACAAAATGCAATCTTTCCTTTCATCCTTGGCTACAGACTGTATTCAAAGTAAGAACAAGAGACTACACCATAACAACAAAAAAAAGAGAGATCACACCATGACACAGTGGGAATTTTTATTTTACAAATGAAATGGCAAAATACTGCTGCTGAACTGACCACAAAGCGACACTTTGAATGCATACATTACAGGTGAATTTTCCCAATTCATTAATTAGTTCCACTGGTATCTAAGTCTTGATGGAAGAAGTACAGACCAGATTTAACCATGGTAACAGTACTGGCTGGCAAAATTTAGCAAAAGAAGTGACAGTATATTTCAATTTCTTTTTCTTCTTGAAAACATCCTCCATTGCCCTATGAAACTTAAAAGATTGTGTCCTAGCCAAAAAGATCAAAAGCTGTAAGATAGAAAATTGTAGAGTATACTTCTACCTTTATGCTGTGATTTCCATGTCTCTTGGAAAGGTCTGGTTACACCAGAATATTCTTTGCAATAGCATTCAAAGTCCTTACTTTTGTCACATCTGTTACCTTTAGAGTATATTCCGAGTTAGAAAGTGAGGCTCCCATGGCAACAGAGGAATTTCTGTAATAGATGTAAGCAAAGGAAGAGAAGATTAAGTGAGCCTTTGTTACTGGCACATTACAGGCTACCTCAAGAAAAAGGTAAGGTCAAGGGGCTGGGAATTTAGCTCAGTGGCATCAGTGCCTGTCTGGCAAGCACAAGGTCATGAGTTTGATCCCCAGTAACAAACAAACAAACAAAAAAAGATAAGGTCAAGGTCTATTTGAAAGTAAAGTAGCTGAATCTAGCAAGGTACTTGATTTTACATCTGAAAATGTAAATTCTAAGGTTCTTTCTTCTTTTACAACACATTTTTTCCCAATTTGGAAGGATTCAACTATTAAGTTACAGGAACTCTATCAAGAATTTTAAAAATAATAGTTTCAATTCCTTAATGGAGATACAATTTCAAAATAACTAAAAAGTACAGAGCAAAAGTGAGGGAAGACTAATCAGTCTTAATGATAAGAGGGACACAAATGCCTATGATTCTTCCATCTTTACATTACAGATTCTACCTTTGTAAAACAAAAGCATAGGGGAATGGGCACGTGAGTGTATGTCTCATCTGAAGCTTAGCTGCCAAGTTCATTATTATTAACTCAGACCTTCAGTGCCATCAGCTCACTGATAATGGATTAATGCTCTGTGTGGAAAAAGCAAGCAGGAGCCTGAAAGAACTACAATAAGGGCAAGTGATGGTAAGACTATGCCAAGTATGTAAAAGTTTACCCAGGAACTTTCAGAAATTCCTACTCATTTAATGCATAACAAGAACATTACAAAAATGTTTCAAACTGCAAAAATGACAACATTTATGTACCAATTATAACATCTACTCATTAACCACAGCATCAATCAAAGTTTATTTATTCAGAGAAATAAACATAATCTCATCCCTTCTTGTATGAGTTAAAGAATACATTTTTACCGAAACTTCATTCCAGAGTCTCTTGAAGACCGAGCAGAACAATGAAATTCTGTAGCACCTGAGCCCTCAAGGATCCTTTGTAGATTTCTGTCAGTTATACCACCTCCTAGTAAAAAGAACAAGTAATATATTAAGTGGAACAAAATCTTGCATAAAATATAGAGAACAATACTATTTACTGAAAAATCTTCATAGTGAAATTTCTCATTGACTAAAAACTACTCTCTCTCTACATTAGAATGAAAAAGAATGAGAAAAGTAATAAAAGATGTATACTATAGATTCTAGAGCACCGTTAAACAACAGAACCTATACAATAGAATCTCTTATATTCATTAGTTTATATAGCAATGCTATATTGTATATTATTGACTTTAAAAAGACCGTTCTGGGGCAAGAAAAACCATTCAGTGCTCCACACTAGTTCTTCAATTTAAGCAAAGTCAAAGTAAAAGGAAAGGCAAGGATAAATCTGAGGAAAACAGTATAGAAAATTAACCTCAGAGATGCATCTGAAAGAATTTATAATTTATAAGGTTTTCCTTCTGGCTCAGGATTCAGAGAGTTTACCTAACTTCACTGGAAATGGGAATAAGGTAAAGTGCTACCTAGTTTATTCATTACCAAATCAACTTGTTTCATTTCACAGAAAGATCTGATTCTACTATATTAATATCACACTACCAAATACTTTAACTCATTGTTGTTAAAACTAGTGGTTCAGTCATACTGCTGAAACATAAGAAGAATATAGGCTGAAAAGTCAAATTTAGACTAATTGTGGAGGCACACCTATAATCCCAGCATTTTACGAGGTTGAGGCATGAGGATCACAAATTTGAGTCCAGCCTGGATGACCCAGAAAGATCCTGAATTTTTAAAAGAATCAAAGAGTTTAACTCAGTGGTAAGGCCCTGAGTTTGATCAGTCAATCAATCGATAAACACACATATAATTTCTTTCTAAAAAAAATAAAACATCTGGGCACTAAGCACATGTTATCTACAACTTTAATATACAGGGATTACATTTTCCAAACACAGTTAACATAAGCTTTGCAGTTAAAAGGGATCCCAAAAAACTAGTTCAATATTCCTGTCTTTATAGATGAGGAAACTAGAGTCTAAATACAAAGTCTGCCCAAGAAAAATGCATACACACGTCAGGAAAAGAAAAGTAGTATGATTTTTTTCAAGAAGTGGTGTTATCCTTTTATGGGGGACCCTAGAGGATATCGTATATCACAGAAAACCTACTACACTACTATCCTGTAAAGAAGTTGAAAGTGCATGTGTAGCAATCTCAATGACCAAAGCCCATGCAGCAGTTTGCTGTGCTAATAAAATCTGAAAGCTAATGGTCACCACTTTAAGCACCTTTTACAACTGCAGAGGCCAAAGGTGACTTGTATTAATCTCATCGTGTCTCAATAAATTTAATATTAAAATATTTATGCAAGTTTTTTTCCCCTAAGTGTAACTCATTAGTGCTTCAGATTGATTTATCCAGGAATTTTAACTCGCTTGTAATTTCAAATGTCATAATTTGTTTACTATTCTATTTTTCAAGCTCAAGTAAAAGGATTACTTCACATTCAATTATTTTTTACACCTCTCATATTATCTACATACAATTATAATTGACATAGGTTAAATAAATTGCTCCTTAGGTTACATAAATTAATCACAAACTTTGTTCTATATAACATCTTCTCACCTAAGACTGATAGCTTCTTCAGGAAGCATAACTGCATCCCAAGTAATGCTTTGCACATAGCAGATAACTCACTATGTATTAAGCAAAGGCACTCTTAAAATAAACAACTGTCAGAAGCTGAACTTGTTAAGACTAAATACATTTACGTTCCCTGATTACCTCACTTTTTTTTTTTAAAGCCAGTCAAATTTAGCAGTGGGGGAGTGGTATATCAACTTTACTGACACTAATGTTAATAAGTTCTGATAACCCATGCATGCCATCGGACCAGCGGATTACCTCACTTTGACAGATAAAATGCGTTTTCTATCTGTTCATGTTTCAAGGACTAGCTACCGGTCAAAGATTTCCCAATATCTGACAACACATTCCACTTGGCCTCTTTATATAAGTTGCCTTTTATGTAGTTGTTAGTATTTTGAACTTATTTAATCAGAATCTAGTCAAACTTTTCACTCTTAACTACCAGTTATAGGAAATACTCTGGCCAGAGGAATAAGCTAAACAGTATCAAAAAGAAACAACCTGATACATCCAAAAAGTAGGACATTCTTTAACTTAAGTGGTACAAATTTTTTCTTTTCTTCTATAATTAGGAATCAAACCTAGGATGCTCTACCAGTGAGCTAATCCTTTTTACTTTTTATTGAGATAGGGTTTTACTGAATTGTTGAACTGCCCTCCAATCTGTAATACTCTTGCCTCAGTCCCCTAAGCAGCTGGGATTATGTGTATGTGTGTGTAACCAGGCATGGCCAAACTTTTTAAATGGCATTTTCTTTTAAGCAAGAAAAAAAACCTTCCATATTAAAGAATATTAAGATAAATAAATGCAATGCTTTTTTTTTTGGATCTTAGTGTGCAGATGTCCACTATAAAATATATTTTGCAACAATAGAAGAATAGCATGGAACAGACATTAAATGGTATTAAAGAATTAGTATTTATCTTGATAAAGATGATAAAATCTTTACAGTAAAATCTTTTTATAAAGATGCACAAAGATAAAATGTCATGATACCTTTAATTTAACTTTAAAATATCTCAGTATAAAAGACAAATGTTAAAACTAGGGAATGAGCATATAATCATTCATTGTTCTGCTTTCTTCTTTATGTTTGTGAAAATAAAAAAAAATAAAATAACTGCTTCTTAAAAAAAATAACTGCTTTTATATTTGTCTTATTCTGATTCCAGGTTTACCTCATCCAATTCTTTAAAAACTACCCCACTTCTTCCTTTCTAATAAGACTTTATGTGCTTAATTGATCTTATGGTTATCATTAGGAGAATATGCTCAAATTATACTGACTACAAAAACATCTGACCATCATTATTCATGAAATAATGAATTATTATATTTACTAGGGATGTCATTTAATCATTTGGTCTTAAATGACAGTATAGCTGTCTTACCAGAAATGAGCATCTAAATTTATGCTGGAAATATAAACATGGAGAAATCCCAATCCTAACCTATTTCCTTCTTTACTCCTCTAAGAGCTATTGTTAGAATGTTAGAAAGTTTTAAATTCTATTACATATATTGCAATAAAATGTTTTAATCAAACTATAGTCTTCTCTCTGAACATCATGCTATATAATACTTGCTCGCATGTTTTCCTGATGCCTGTGCTCCATTACAGTCCAGCACTATGCTAATAAATGGAGATTAAATAAATACCTGGCATTATCACAATCCTGCCTTTTGCCTGAAAAATAGAAAAAAAGTGAAATTTAATAGCTTTCTCTTATTTGGGAAAAGGTGATAAGAACAGAAAAATGAATCAAAGTTATATTTTAAATTTTAAAGTTTAATTTTCAGTATTGTCTATATTGGGGAAGGGATCGTGGGCAAGCAGGATGTCCAACACTAACTTCTGTCTACAAAATTATTTTACCATATGGTTTTTTTTTTATTTAAAGAGAAAAACAAAACTAAACAAAGCAAAACAGTAAAAGGCTAGAAGTAATACAGAATTCAAGAGAAAAAATATACAGTAAGAATTCACCAGTTTACAGATCACACATTGTTATCTCAGAAACAGTTGTCCAGAATACAAAATTAAAGCATACAAAGTGGACATTAATACAGTGAGATTGCAGACAGTTCTGTTCAATGATCCAACAAAAACTCAGCAATATGGTTCTCTATCCTACACTTTTAAATATACTTGCAGTTATATCCTTTAGATCACTTTCTTCCCTTTTTTTTTTTACCATATGGTTTTAAAAACTCAGATTATAGGATACAATAAAAGCTATCCTTTAGAAGAGGATTCAATACAGTGGACCCTTCAGTTTCAACTGACCTCACACATAAACAACTTGGGTATGATTGGAATTTTAGGTTCAACTTACAACCAAAGTCTTGAACTGCACCTGAATGCCAGCTGCCTGCATGGCTGTAAACAAAGACAATGCCAGAAAATTGTAGTAAAGCATATGCTAGTGTACATAAGCATCAGTCTAAGCCCAGAAGCACGTGTTTATAGATATGATTTTAATCAGTGCTTTACATAATCACTTTAACTACTGCTATCAAAACAGTTCCATAGGGCTGGGGATTTAGCTCAGTGGCATAAACTCCTGCTTTGTAAGCGCAGGGTCATGAGTTCAATCCCCAGTACCCCCCCCCAAAAAAAAAGCAGTGCCATAAAAGCTAGAAAAAAAGCTAAGGAAAGGAGGGAAAGGAAAGCAATCACAATCAAAAAGAAGGAAACTATGGAGAAATATGAGAGTGGCATTTGCTAACATGTACAGCATGTCAAAATCCATTTTGACAATCTTACAGAGAAAAAAATTGTGGAAGCTAGTGTTGCTAAACGTGTTACTCAAATTACTAAGTCATGATTAACAGTGTCAGATGAGGTAGAAAGGCTCCCAGAGGGAGGTTATGGCCTAAGTCTATAATTTGTGAAAAAGCTAGGGTTAAAAATGCAGATCCCGAGTGATACCGGTGAAATACTGGTTTCACAATTTTAAAGTGAGAACTAGGGCTCATACCATAACTAGGCATAGTGAAGCAGTCAGTGGTGATAAAAGAGCTGTAGAAAAGTACATACACCACTTTGAAATGATGACACAAAGAAATGGCTTTTGCTCAAGTTTTTACCTATAATGAAGCTAGCCTTTTCTGGAAGAAAATGCTCAGGAGAACATATACTACCCAGGAAGAGAAGACAATGCCAGGCCACAAGCCTGTGAAGGACAGACTAACCTTACTGCTATGTGCCAATGCAAGTGGTGACCTCAGGATAAAGTCTCTCTTGGTTTATCACTCTGAGACCCCTAAAGTGTTCAGAAAACATAAAATGAAGACTAGGCAATGGGTCATATGTAGATGCAAAACAAAAGCCTGGTATAATGGTTGGTACACTGTGTCAACTTGAGAAGTCTAGAAGTTTAAGTAACTCAGCAGAGGCCAGGGTTCTCACTTGGTAAACCACCTGAGGCTGTGCAAAAGGAGGACCCAAACATGGTGAGAGCTGCATCTGCTCAGGGGCAGGCAGCCTGCTTATATTGTAAGGGAGAAAAGAGGCTTGCATCCCCATTTTGTGCTCTGGTTGCTTTGCTGTCTTTTTCCACCTTAAAGTATTGCCCTTGTGCCATGCCACCCTGCCTTGGAGCCAGTTGATTATAGATTGAAACCTCTATTGACAGTGAGCTAAATAAATCTTTTTCTCTTTAATTTGGGTGTCAGGTATTTTGTCCCAATAACTAAGACACTTGGGTAACAAGAGGAGTTTTTCTTGAATGCTATGGGGAGGCTTTCTGTCTTTTTGTTAAGAAATATCTACAGAACAAAAGTTTATCACTCAAGGCTCTCCTCCTCATGAACAATGCTCTTGCTCATCCATGAGATTTGAAAGAAGAATTGGCTGAAGAAGTTCCTTGGCTCTCAAGTTGAGTTCCCCTCACCTAATACAACTCCTCTACTGTGGCCTATGGACCAACAGCTTAAAGCTAACTTTAAGAAGCTATACACCACAGAACTGTTCCTAAAGGGCTTCCAGATGGTCTCAGATACAGATTTAACCTTAAAGAGTACTGGAAAGAATATTACAGCATCCTTTCCTGTGTGGGGTTATAGTAATGAGAAATCCTGGGCTAATGTTTAAGGACACTGAGATCTTCCTGGAAGAAAATGTGGCCTAAAATTACACAGGAGAGACACTTTGAAAGCAGTGTAGAGGAGCCTGAGTCTTCAGTTGACCCTTTGGCTGATGACACTGTCACTGCAGCAGAGCCCACAGGCTTACAGGTAGACAATAGTGATGCTGAGGAACTGGCAGAGGAACACTCAGAGGAACTATCTACAGAAAAACTTCAGTGACTTCCAGCTAAGCAACAGAGAATGGCAGCTGAGGAGCTTTCTGAAAAGAAAAGTGAGTATCAATAATCTGCAGCAAAGATCTTCTGAAATAAAGCAAATTCTGAAAAAAAATGGACAGAGCTGCAAACATTTGTAGAGAAGATCCACGGCAGGGGGTGGAAATCATTGCCTTGACTTGCTTGATGACAATGTCATACTACAGAACAGTGTTAAAAGACAGAAACAGACAACTTTAAAAGTTTTTAGTTCTGAAAAGGTTGAGACCTCGTGAGCTAGACGCAGGTCCTAGTGGGCTACAGACTCCCAAGGACAGAGATTGCTGATGTTCCTATGGAAGGGGACTGTACTTCCAAACAATAACCACCTTCCATTTCATCCTCCCTTCCTGCAAGTCAAAGACGGCAACAGGAATGGTGAGTACAGTACAAAATTGTTGTTTCTGATATAGCATACTTTATAACTTTTTGGTGAATACACTAGGAAAATTATTGGTGTTTCTGGTAAATTAAGCACATTATACAACCCATTTTTATTACGAAGAAGTTAAGGGAGCATGTGCTTTGGGAGGTTCAGGATGCATGGTGGGTATTTGTATTATTTCTTATAGGAGAAACAGTCTTGGCTTACAACCAAGTCGAGTTACAACCAGCTCCTGAAAACAAAATGAGTTTGAAAGTCAGGAGTCCACTGTATAAATACTGAATAATCACACTGCCTTAAGAAAAGCCTTACAGAAAAATGACACATATGCCATACACGGTGGTATATACATTTATTCCCAGCACTTGGGAGACTGAGGCAGGAGGATTACCATGAGTTCAAGACCAGCTTGAACCACTAGCAAGATCCTGCCTTAAAAACCCAAACAAACAAAAAAATCATCCAAAAAATTCAGAAAAAATGACACTAATTCTGAGTACTTAGTATGTCATGAGATGAAACTAGCCAAATTCAAACAAGACTAAAATCAGGTGTGGTGATGCATGCCTGAAATCTCAACACTCAGGAGGGTGAAGCAAAAATACAAACTGTGAGTTTGAAGAACACATGAACTATATAGAAGTCTATCTCATAAAACAAAACAAAAACAATAACAAAACCACAACACATTAACAAAGGAGCCAGTTTAGGTGTCTATCAACAGACAAATGAATAAAGAAAATGTGGAATATACAGACACAATGGAATAACACAAGAACAGCATCATGTCATTTGTAAAAAAAAATCGAACCAGATACCATCGTGTTAGGTGAAATAAGCCAAATTCAGAAAGATAACTATCATATGTTTTCCTTCATATGCTGAGTCTAAAAAACAAAGCCAAAACAAAACACAGCATTAAAGCAGAAAGAAGACTTAGACAAGAGGAAGGAAATGGGGAGGAGAGCAACAGGGAGCTGGCTATGATAAAAATGTGTTATACACAATAAATGAAAATACCCCTACTGAAGTCTAATGTTCTGTAAAATTAAAAGTTATGAATAAAATGTATTTTAAAAAGAAAAAAGATTTTAATAGAAAAGAAAGCATAACATGATTCTAGAATATTGAGGGGCAACTCACTCAAATCTTATATCCTCAATTAAATTCTTTCATTTATCATACCAATTAAACAAAACCATGTGTTTATTTAACTGGTACTATAAGAATTAAATTTAATTTCTGATAATTCTGGGATTATCTCCCATTTATGCTTCTAAGGACCCATTCAGCTTCTCCAAAGTTATTTTTTCACTTATAAGATCCCTTTTCTCCCTCCTCTACTCTTACTAGTATGTTATATATAATAGGTCCCAAGTTCTAACCATCCCTTTGAGGCATATTTCTTTATAAACTTCCTTATGTATTTAAGAGTATATATACTTACATATACACTCAATCTATTTTTTCTCCTGCTAATGTATCTTTGCCAGCTAATTAATAGGTCCTTAAAGAATTAAATATAAGAAGGTAGTAAACCCTCTTAATAAGTAAACAGGAGAAAATTTCTTCTTTTATTTCTCTTCAAGAGAAAGTTTCATTCAAGGATGACAGTCAACAGACAGGTATATTTATGCACCAAAATTTCAGGTAATGAGTACAATGAAAAAGGAAAGCAATGTAATGAAATAAAGAATAAAAGAGAATGGTCTATTTAATGAATTTACTAAGTACTAGAAAAATTAAGTGGGAACTGGGATGTTTCATACTGTCAAATGTGCTAAATAAAGCAAGGTATCCATAAAAACATTTACTATCTATAAAGCTGAAATAAGTTTAGGAAGAAATAAAGTTGCATTTACCTGTTTTTCCCAAATGGAGGCTTTCCAAAATAAACACAAATGATATTTTAAGAGATGAATTTTATCATGTTGAGGTGTGGGATAGATCCATAAAAGATTATTTAGAATTGTCTGCTTACTTAAGGCTATCACAGTCACTTAATAATATAAAGCACTTAGTATGTGTCAGATACTGTGCTTTCTTTCCAAAGCAACTCCTTGTAACTATTCCGTAACACAAGTGCTATCATTATTCTAACACTGCAGATGAAGAAAGTGAGATTTTCAGATGCCTAAGTAATTTGCCCAATGTCACTTACTAAGCAGCAAAATCAGGATTTAAGCCAGGATTATAATCCTACAAGCCTACTTTCTGGCCTGTGTATTATACTTCTAGGTAGTGACTTTCAGAAGTTAGTTGTATGAAAATATTTAATCTACCTCTTCCTGCCAACCGTTGACTACCATATAAAACACAGAGAAACATACATACACATAGATATGTGTAATATATACACATATTCTGTGTAATATTCTGAAATGTAACACATAACTATGATAATTATATCTTCTTTTTATTGATTATAAAGATTAGTGAGTTTCATTTTGGCAGAGTCATACAGGCACATAACATACTTTCATCATCAGTCTGCTCCTAGCCCTCAAGTGTATGTTTTTTTCTATTCCTTAGTTAGCAACCTTTTAAAATGGAAACTTAATTCATCAACTCTAATTTAAAATGCTTTTGTCCTACCTACTGTACCAAATTATGCATATTATTATTCTCTTCACCTTCAACATTTTGATCATTCTTCAGTATATTAAACTATGCTTGCTTTTGTTTCCAGGCCTTTACATTTATTTCTTTGGGGTGGAACAATTCCCCTACTCTCTCTATAACTACTTTTACATGGGTAACTCCCAAACAGCCTTCAAATTAGTACATTTCAGCTTTCCTGTCTTTCTGCTGGGAAGCTTTTGCTACTGCCTACCTACACCCCCCATACAAGGAGTTAATTCCTTTCCAATGTGCCCCACAGCACCTTTTATTACTGTTCTCTATTAAAAAGTTGAACACTACAGTGTGAGGGCAGTGACCATAGTCCCCTCATCTTTTGGTCACCACCATAGTGCCAATACACTGTACTAATATACACTTAATAAATATTTGCAAAATTCAATAAATTCCACAGTAGCAAAATGATCATTAAGTAAAATTTCTTAAAGTTGTTTTCATGGCTACAGAAAAGTGAAAGTAATCAAATGTCAGTACAATGATAAATATATTATTATATAAAAGAAGTAATAGTATAGTTGAATCTTGGAAAGAACCTATATGTCCCTCAATGGATGAATAGATAAAAGAGAACATAGTATTTACACACAGTGTAGTACAACATTCTGCTATAAAGAAAGGTAAACTTATGTCATTTGTAGACCATAACGTTAAATGAAATAAATCAAACACACAGGTTAAATATCACAAGGTTCCTCTTTTTTTCTTTCTTTCTTTTTTTTTTTTTTTTTGGTAGTGGGGATCAAACTCATAGCCTCGCGTTTACCAGGCAAGCACTTGAGCCACTAAGCTAAATTCCCGGCTCCACATGGTTCCTCTTATATGAGAAATCCAAATTATAAAGAGCATATAAATTATTAAAAATATATAAATTATAATAAAACAGATAATAGAAAGTAGAGAGATAAGATTTTTTTGTCAAATGAGAAGGGGATTCAGAGATGGAGGAAAGGGAAAGGAGAGGGAAAAGTGATAACAAAATGAATTAAGATGCGTTACATACATTACCAACTCCACATAAGGAATGAAAACATTATGTATTGTAAACATGTTCTAATAAAATTTAAAAATTAAAAAAGCATAGTAGTCAAACTAAAATTACTAAGACCTACTACACACTGAGCACTTTGCTAAGGCTCTTACATATTTTAATCTCTTTGAATCCTTAGAAAAACCTTATGAAGGAAAAATTAATCTCAATTTCACATACAAGACAAGAAAGGCTTACAAATTAGTAAGCTACTCAATATCATATAGCAAATAAATGTCAGACTTGAGTCTCATACACAGAACTCTCTCATCTCAAAGTCTGTACTAAGAAGTGTCAGTAAAAAACAGACATACTCCAACAACAAAATTATCCCCTTCTACTCTACACATGATGCTAGCTCATCAAGAGAACTCATACAAGAGTAAAATGTATTTGCTACTATACTGAAAAAATGGGGGAAAATGGGGGCTGGGGATTTAGCTCAGCGGCATAAGCACCTGCCTTGCAAGCAGGCAGTCGTGAGTTCGATCCCTGGTACCAATAAAAATAAAAAAAAGACAAAAAAATGAGGGAAAATGAAAAAATGTAATTTTAATTTTGGAATTTACTTGCAAAAGATTTTTCTCAGAAATTATATAGATCACCTGAGTATATATGAGCTGATAATGAAAAAAAATATGATTTAAAGTTAACATTAAATATGATTTAAAGTTATATGCTGATGGCAAAGAAATGTAAAATTTGCTGTGCTTATTCAAATTACATCAGATCATTAGCAGTATTTACAATCTGATTTGAAGAGCTTTGTGTTTTGAAAACACTCATGTGACAGAAATAAGAATTATATAAATAACATCATCACCTGGTTGTTTTTTCCTTCAATAATATTTAGTTTTACAACATAGTTGAACAACAGAAAGGAGTAACCACAATAGTCTTAGGAAGAAAAAAATTGCTTATACCTGATCTATGAGTCGCTTTATTAGAGGTAGTCCTTCTAATGCTGAACTGTCACATCCACTGGTCAATACTCGTTCAAATCCTAATGTTACGAGGGTCTCAAGAGCTGCCATTGGATCATGAACCATGTCAAAAGCTGAAATAAATTTTGAACAAATGTGCAAAACTGCAGTACTATATAGTTTACATACAGTGGTACACTGAAGCCAGAGTATACTGGTTTATAAACCCAATTAAATAGGAATTCAAGTCAGATTGTTAACACAATGGCACCTTGAAATCAATCAAGATGGGGTATATAAACCACAAAAATCAGAACACACGTGAAAATCAGAGGTCTTTTTATCCAGGTGCTAGTTTATTAGCACACTATAGCCTGAATACCATTAGTATATGCCCGATCATTTTATCAGAATATATTTCTTATCTTTGAGAGAGGGTCTTACTCTGTACTTCAGGCTGGTTTTGAACTTACTATGTAGTTCACACTGCCCTTGACTCACAGTGATACTGCTGCCTCAGTTTTCAGAGTGATGATGAAATCACAGGCATGCACCACCACACCCGTGTGGTACACATTTTAACTGTTCTATCTAAATGCACATAAAAGGCAAACAGTTCCCAATTCTTCAGTAATTATAAAAGTTTCTTTTTAAAATAAACTTAAGATTTCTTTTAAAGAATATTATTAAATAAATGTGCACAAGGGGGCATTCAATATGATAAAATTGTTAAGTGTAATAGGTTAGTGGCTAGATATGGGAAACTGCTCTAAGACTTCAGAAAAACTTAGATTATATAAAATGAAACATTATACTCACTAGCTCTAATAAAAACAATGGCTCACACTCTCATTACGGTTTTATACTAATCCATTTACCTGACATACTTAATGCTTTTAAGCATAAGGACAACTATTTTCAAGAGACTATATGAAATTTCAATTTTATCTTACTTTCTAAGAAATTTTGCTCCCTGGAAGAGAGAGGAAAGTGATCTAGAAAACTCAAAACAGAAAAACTTTGGCTCCACCATTATTATATGACACAAAAGTTCTCATGTGGGTTAGCAGGTATAATGGTTCCCTGGGACGGGCTTCTTATTTTCATCCTTTAGCATACAAAAGGAGTGAAACTACTATAGAAGATTTTTCTTTTCAGTAACAACACTTTTTCACTAGTGATTATACTATCATACTACCTAATTAAATAAATAAGGGCAAAAAGTGTAGTACTACGACAATGCAAAATTGCTACAAATTATGCAAGTATTCCTGTTAAACCTATTGGAGAAAAGGAAATGAACAGAAATTTGAAATCATTTTCTAAGTTTACAAACAGAAAAATATATTTTATAGACCTGGTTTGCTTTTAGATTATTTAGTACATAAAAGTTTTAAACTATATGTTTTTCAGGTAAGTGTTCACTAATTTAAAATACTTTTTTCTTGTATGTGGCTGGCCTCAAGAGGCTGACCTTAAGTAACCTAACTTTTTTTATTGTTGCTTTATAAGAAGTACTGCTAACACCAAGTCAAGCAAAATATTTTTCTGGTCATGCCATACATTTCAAAAGAAACAAAAATGACAAATACTTTATACCTAACTTCTATAACTGGATATAGATATTGATATGCACTCTAATCTCTGAACGCTATTCTTTTTTTTTTTTAATTTAAGGAGAAAAGAAAAAAAAGCAGAGAAAGGGTACAAGTTATACAGATTTACAGAAAAAAAAATGAACAGTAAGAAATCACTAGTTAATGGATTACATATTGTCATCTTAGAAATAATTGTTCAAGTCACAGAATTAAAGCTTGTAAAGTGGACATTCCATCAATGATACTGCAAACAGTTCGGTTCAATGATCCAATAAAACTCTGTGATATCATTTTCTATCTTATACACTTAAATATACATGCAGTATATAGTTTAGAGCACTTTCTTTTCCTTTCTTTTGTACCATGACTATTACACATTTTGGGTTTCATTGCTCCCACGGTCTGAAAGCTATTCTAAAAAGGGGGAGGCATTTAAAACCTTTTTAAGCATATAATCAAGGAAAAATTGCAAAAATTTGACTACCTTATTTTCATGTGCAGTACCAATGTAAAGGTGACATTTGCTCATCTACTTGAAGAATTAGCCAAAGAATCATACTGTACTGTATGCACACCCATTTTTGCAGCAGCACAGTTTGTAATAGCTAAATCTTGGAAACAACCCAAATGTCCATCAAGATTTGGGGGAGCTAGTAGAAGTCATGGGCTGAGAAAAGAACAAGGAAGTGCGTCTGCTTTTCCTGTGAATCAGCCATTGGCCAGGAAAATAACCAGGAAGTCAGTATGACTTTCTGGTGAGCCAGCGGCAGCTGTGGGCAGGAAAGCCAGCAGTGACCATAGGCTGGGAAAAGAACCAGGGAGTCAGTCTGCCTTTCTGTGAGCCAACTGGCATGCAGGCTGGGAGCTAAGAAGAGCCTCTTTCCCTCTCCCCCTTGTGTAGGCAACTGGCTGATTCTGAGGAACACAAGCTGGGATGATAGTAACTGAGCTACAAAAACAACTTAATGCTTGTAATTGACTGACTGACTTTGCAAACCTGGGGCCAGTAGTCTTGAGTATCTGCTTACAGGATAACGATATGCAATATGGCAATATGACAGATTTCCTTCTGTCTTACTTTTGAAATTCAATATTGTTCCCACTATTTTGTTGTGATCTGTTTCACTGGTTTTTTGTTTGGCTTTGTTTTTTTTTTTTGGGGGGGGGGGGTTGGCACCAGCGATAGAACTCAGGACCTTGTACCGTCCGGGCAGGAGCTTAGGCTGCTGAGCTAAATCCTTGGCCCTATTTTACTGTTTTGAAAATAAAAAATAATAAAATAGGATCTTCTGAAAAAAACTGAATTTTTTATACAATAGAGTACTACTTTGCCATAAAGAAAAACAAGCTTAACACGTTTCTAACTAAATGGATGCACCTTGAGACTACTCTTTTTTTTTTTTTTGTCTTTTTCGTTTTTATCAGTACTGGGAATCGAACTCATGACTGCCTGCTTGCAAGGCAGGTGCTTAATGCCACTGAGCTAAATCCCCAGCCCCGAGATTATACTCTTAAGTGAAATAAATTAGACACACATGTTCAAATACCATATTGTTTCTCTAGTGTAAGAAACTGAAAGTATAAATAAGAACCAAAATGTATAGTAAACACTAGGAAATGGGAAAAAATATTCAAATGATAAGGGAGGGGGAAGGGGAAAGCAAAAGAAGGGATAAGAATAAAAGAATAAAAGGAAAAATGCAAACAAAGCTTTTATGAATGAGGGGAAGAGGCGTTAAAAGGAGGTGAGGGGAAGGGAAAAAAGCAGCAGCAAGATAATACAATCCTGATGATGAATGTGATCATTATCTACCTAAAATGTGCCAATAAAGTAGAAATTAAAAGAAAAAGAATTAACCAGAGGATAGGAATTTTAACTACCTGATTTGTAGACAAGAAGCATTTCTTATACAATGTATACAAGTTAACAATCATGAAAAGTAATTTTGTGTACTACAGTATATATCTGTTAGTTGACTATTTAGCAACTATTTCTTGGATTTCCCCTTCCTAAAAGTGTCCAATTTTTCTTTAAATAGCCAACCTCTCTCCCCACATGAAGCCTCTATCTGAGAACACTGTCCTTACCACCCTCTAGCTCCAGTATAGGTTTGTCTGGCTTAGGTCTGCCAGTACATTTCACTGCCACAGTATTTTATTCTTCTTAGCAGTACACACGACTTCAAATTAAAATGAATCTTAGGACAGCTACTTGGATAGATATATGCAATTGCAAGCAATATTTAACCTATCCCTCTACTCTTATATTGCACTATCACTTTCAACGATTTTTCTTAACTGACCCTTCAAAATTTCTAGAGACCAACTAGTAACACTGTAAACACTTTAGAACTGTGATCCTTAGGTGACACCAGACAACTGATACCATTCAACAGAACTTCTAAAATGGAAATAACTCACCTCTATGGAAAGTGACTGGCAGAGGACGGCAAAGAGCTATAAAAAGAAAGCCATATAACAGGATTAAAAACAAAACAATCACTGAATAAACACTTCTCAAAAGAGGAAGTAGAGCTCCCACCCAAAATAAAAGAAGTACAAATGTCAATAATTACATGAAAAAATGTTCAGAATCTTTGCCCATTAGAGAAATGCAAATCAAAACAACAGTGAACAAATAGCCATCACCAAAAACTAAAAAAAAAAAAAAAAAAAAAGTTGGTGAAGTTAGGAGAAAAAAATCCTTTTACTTGTTAGTTAGAATATAAACTAGCACAAACTAGGGAAATCAGTATGATGATTCCTCAGAAAACTAAAACTAGAAATTCCTTTTGACCTAGCAAAACCTTTTCCAGTTATCTTCCTGAAACAGTTAAAGACCCCTTACATGACAGGTGATACATGTGTATCAGGTTTACAGCACAACTCATAACAGCTAAATCTTAAACATTGCCTAGAGGCTCATCAAGAGATGGATGGATTAAAAAATGTGGTATAGATAAACAAATAGAGTCCTACTCAGAAATAAAGGATAAATTTGAGTCATTTGTAGAAAAATAGATATAGCTTAGGTTGCCATAATGCTAATAGTAAAATAAATCAGGCACTGAAGGTTAAATATCTTATTACATGGGTTCTATGAGAAATCCAAAGTATAAATAAAGAATACAATAAAAGACATGATTGGTTGGGCATGGTGCTCATGCCCATAATCTCAGCACTCAGGAGTCTTAGGCAGGAAGACTGATGCAAGTTTGAGATCAGGGAGGGCTACATAATGAGTTCAAGAATAAACTGGATTACAGGACAGGACCCTATCTCAATAAAATACAACACAACACCACACAGATGACAGGGACTGAGTCTCTGGGGATAGGAACTGGACCTAGAAACGGAGAGAGACAAGAGGATAACGAAGGGAAGGGGAATTAAAAATGATTAAGATGCGATATGCAATTACCCAAGATGAATGTGATTATTATTATTTTTTGAGACAGGGTGTTGCTTTGTAGTTTAGGCTGGCTTTGAACTCACTATGTATCCAGGCTGGCTCCAAACTGCTGGTCATCTTCTTATCTCAGCCTCTCAAGTGCTGTATTACAAGCATGCCTAGCTGAATGTAATTATTATATATCACAAACACATACTAATAGAAAAAACAAAAAGTCATCTTTGATTCTATTTTCCATGTTAGCTGAAACTTTATACTTACTTCTCCTAAGAAGTAAAGAATGTGAACTAAAACAGAACAGCAGCCTTACAAATTCAAGTGCTCTCTTTTTACTAAACTCTGATTTATAGATAAAATATTATCATCCACACCTTAAACGGCACCAAATAAAAACATCTGGCAACCATAAACAAAGCATTATATCAGCTACTTACTTGTTCCTCTGAGGATCTTAAGAATACTTACCTTAGTAATATAACAGTTTGCTTCTATCCTCTCCCTGTCTCTCCATACCCATTGATTGCAACAACTTTTGAAAGTTTTTTGGTGTAGTGGTTAAAGCAACCAAGGTCAGTATTACAACACTGACTTCTCAGTCACACTTATGGACACATCTTACCTATTTTAAACAGAATGCAGTGATTTAGATGTTTGAGGTAGAGGTTATGTGTGGTAAAAGCTTTCTTAATTTTTTTTTAGTTACTGTGTAGATCATCTAAATAATGCTTAAAATAGGATAAGTATCTGCACGTATGACTGAAAAGTAAGTTTGTGATATTTTTCTGCACTGGGAGCATAAATACAGTCATCTCAGATGCAAATTCTTACCCACAAGAGACATGCACAGCTCCTTGTCAATATATCCATCTTCAGTCAATGCCCCAAATACCAAACCATCGGCACCATAAAGCTTGGCAAGCTGAATGTCAGCCTTCATCACCTCAATTTCACGATCTGAATACAAAAAATCACCGCCACGTGGCCGAATCATCACAAAAACTGGGATCTGGACACTCTGTTTTACTACTTGAAGGACACCTGTGAGAACAGAAAACGAACTCAAATTCAAATGTGAGCTAAAGGGTCCAGAAAGTCAATAAAATATTACATGTACGTTTGTTCTTATTGTTGTACCCCCAAAACGAGGCCCCAAGATGTTATTAAAAACAAAAACAAAAACAAAAACAAAAACAAAAACAAAACCGGGGCAGGACGTCTTTTTTTTTTTAAAAGAGCGCTTTTATTTAAGCTGGCACCAGCAGCACAGTGCAGATGGAGTTTGTGAAGCTATGCAACTGGGTTAGAATTTTGACATACTTTTACAACAATTAAACCACTGATGTGAGGAGACCAAGAATGGGGAAGGCCTTTGTTCCCCTTTGTTTGGGGTCAGAGACGCTTTGCAGTTGGTGGTTAGCCCTTTTGTTTTCCCTTAATTTACAGCCCTTGGTGTACTAATTCTAGGAACATTTGTTTCTCACAAAAGCAAACAAAGGTTGACACAGCATCATTTGTGTCTCACAAAGGGAACAAAGGTTGACACAGCAAACAAGTTACTAAGGTGATGACGCATACAGAACACCATGGTGATGCCTCAGTTAATCTATAACTATATAACTATGTGGTTGGTGCTACAGGTACATGGTTACTAGGGCGATAAGCATAGCACAGAATGACAAAGCTCTTTGTGCTAATAACAATCTTTTTAACTTTGTATTTTAGCTTTTTTAGCACAACACTTACTACTTCCAAAAGAAAGAACTGACTGAGGAAACTAGAGAAAAGTAGACAAAATAGAAGGCTAATAAGAAGAAAAATGTATATATTGGGGAAAAGTAAGCAAGAGGAAAGTCAAGAATTAAAAAGAGCAATTTAGGGGTGGGGATTTAGCTCAGCAGCGTAAGTGCCTGCCTAGCAAGTGCAAGGTCATGAGTTCAATCCCCAGTACCCACTCCCCGCAAAAAAAGCAATTTAAGGGGCTGGGGATTTAGCTCAGTGGCATAAGCACCTGCCTTGCAAGCAGGTGGTCATGAGTTCGATCCCCAGTGCTGATAAAAAGAGAAAAAGAAAAAAAAAAAAAACAAGCAATTTAGAAAACTGAAGACACAATAAAGAAGCACTTGTCAGTTTCCCCAACAAAAACTCTCACTCAGAACTCTTTTATTGGTTATGACATTTGAAAGTATATTAACTACTAGGCTCAGTGTTCTGTTAATAGATTACCCAGGACCAAGTTGCTCCTTCCTAATTGATTATAGCTCTATTTAAAATCCACTATATAAACGGTTAACTATTTCCAAAATTTATGTTCCCTAACTGGATAATTAGCAAAACCTATTTTTGAAAGAGATACTTAAAAGTTAACAAAATTCTACCTATTTTTGGTAGTATGCAGAGATATTTCAACAGAAGTACCTACATATGACAATGTGATCAACTCAGAAACACTCAACAGTACAAGATTTATGACAAGCACCAGTAGTTGTTTACTGAATATGAATCTTCTTTTCCCTTTTTTCCTCTTTTGGAACCAAATTTTGCACAGAAGAAAAATGTGCCCAATATCAAGCAATGACTCATGACTGGTATTGTAAAAAAACAGATCATTCTCTAATTTATAGATACTGCAGAGATTTTAGAATGGCTAGAGATTGCCTGTTTTTGGTGAGAAGCTTCTAAAGGTCTGTTGAATATATAAAATCTTTATACTAAATAATGCTATCATCAAATCAGAGTAGCATAACATTAGAGTAAAAAATTCTGCTTTTGGGGCCAGGAATTTAGCTCAGTAGCATAAGTGCAGAAGCACACGGTTGCAAGTTCTCTCCCCCCACCACCAAAAAATAAAGTTCTGCTTTTGGTTAAGACAGAGTTATAGAAACTAGATTATCCTCTGTCCCACAGTAACAAAAAATGGACAAAATACATAAAATAATGCTTTGAATATCAAACAACAAAATACTTTGATCCCTGACAGAAAAGAAGTAAGATTCACTTGATATTTGACCAAGTTTACTGCCTGGAGAGACTCAATGATACTGCACAGGAACAGGGAACCTCAATGGAGCCTAGAGAATTCTCAGAGTTGAGACAAAGCTTGGAATCTAAGAAAACGAAGGTAGCTACAGCTATAAGAAAAAGAACTCTAGATATATGCAAAGAACCCCATTTAATATTCAGCTAAATACTGACTGATGGATACATGTAAAGAAACTACACAAGGCCAGAAAAAAATTACTGGAGAGGATAAGAAAAAATGTCTGCCATTTATACCACACCTGTTCCCATCAACTACATAGAAAAACTTCAAGAATCACTGTCATGATTCCTACATTGTGTCAACTTGAGCAGTTTAACTCAGAGACTCAGCAGGAAGCCAGGGTTCTTACTTTGTAAATATCCTCACTCAGTGCAAAGAAGGGCAAGGAGATTTTGTGAGAGCTACATCTGCCCTGGAGGGAGGCTGGTGGCTTGCCTACTGTTCAAGCCAGGAGAAGAGGTTTGTTTTTTACCTTTTTGCTCTGACTGCCTTTTTCCCTGGCTGCTGCCTTGAAGTGTTGCTCCAGTGTCATGCCACACTGCCTTGGAGCCAGCTGATTACAGACTGAAACCTCCAAAACTGTAAAATAAATAAACCTTTCCTTCTCTAATCTTGGGCATTAGGTATTTTGTCTCAACAATGAGACAAAAGTAACCAAGAAAAAAAAAGCTGGAATCCTTAGGGGACAGAAATACTTGGTCTTGTGTGAGCAGTGATGCCATTTCCTTTTGAACCTTGTAACAACCTCGCCCTGTGGCTCCCAGTTGGTGGCCTGTACCATATAAACCAGAAGAGGCTTGTTTTATTTTTGCTCTGGCTGTCCTCTTGCTCTGGCTGCTGCCTTGAAGTGTTACTCCAGTGCCATGCCCCACTGCCTTGAAACCAGCTAATTATGGACTGAAACCTCCACAAACAGTGAGCTTTCTTTCCTTCACTTTGGGTATCAGGTATTTTGCCTCAGCAACAAGAGAAAAGTAACCAAGACAATCACAGACAATGAACTGAATATAAAGAAATGGCTTGCCTCAGTAGTGGAAAAAAATACGATCTAAATTGATCACTTTTCCAGAACTGCCTAATAAATTTTAAAACAAAGGCCTGAAAGTTCCAAACTGTTCCCAAGTAACCTAGCTGCTCAAAAATATTTATTTGAATGCAAATACAATCAATAATCAAAAAAATACAATTTTTACCATATGCTAAATTAAATGACTAGGCAAGAAACTAAGACATGTCAATCAAATTAAACAAACCTAGAACTTATATAGATGCTAGAATTAGCAGATAAAGCCATTAAAACAAGTTTTATAATTTTATTCTATATGTTCACTAACATTAAGAAAACACATGAGAGATGTAAAAACATTCAAATATCTAGATACTACAATATATGAGACGAAAAATATACCAGACAAAATTAACAGATTAAACATTGCAGGAGGAAAGATGAGTATATCTCAGACAAAGACGCAAAATAAAACACAGAAAGGAGATTTTTCTTTAAAAAATGGTAGCTTGTCAGTGAGTTCTGGGACACTTTCAAGTAGTCTAAACAGATATAATTAAAGTCTTTCAAGGAGAGAATGGAGCATATTGCTTAAAATTTTCCAAATGTGATGGAAAATAGTGCACAGATCTAAGAAACATTTAGGTGCATCAGAACTAAGCTGTTCAAAGCTGGGAATAAAGAAAAAAGTCTTAAAAGAAACCAAAGTCACATATAGAGAAAAACAAACATGTGGATGATAGGTTGCTTATTATAAACAACACAAACAAAAAGAGTGAAAAAACATCTCCAAAGAACTAAAAGAAAAAAGAAAAACTGTAAACCTAGAAGTTTATATCTAGCAAAAATATTTTTCAAACATAAATGAGATAGATGTTACTGCAGAGCAGCTGAATCACTGTAATATAGCAGCTATGTACCTTCCAGCTTTTTGATACTAGAGGAAAAAAATGATCAAATCTTTGACTATGTTATTTGCAATCATAAGCATTTTAAACTGATACATATTCATACCATTCTTAACCCCTATATTAGTAAAGGACCCAAACAAGACTGATATTCAGCTGTATCCTGGTTCTATAAACTAAAAGAAAATGTGAAAACTCAGCACTTACCCATACTGGGTGTGGTTCCTCCTTCCAATAAACCAGAACATAATTCAATCCGACCAGCACCTGTAATTTAAAAAAAAAAAAACACTGCTCAGCACAATTATTTTTAAAGGTTCTTATTCAATAGCAAATGGCTCACAATTTTTTTTTTACGAAATATAGAAATTTTAAAAGTTGTGTAAGACATTGCCAGGTATTGGTGACACAAGTCTATAATCCCACTATTCTGGGAGGCTGAGGTAGGAGATCATGAGGTTGAGCCCAGCCTGGACAATCTACAGTAATTTAAGGAGTCCCCATCTAAAAAGACATAAAACAAAATATAGGAAGGCGGGGATACTAGGGGTATAGGTCAGTGTGAAGGCCTTGGGTTCAATCTCCAGTACTACCACAAAGAAGAAAGAGAGGGAGGCAGGAAGCAGGAAGAAGAAGAGGGGAAGAAAAGGCAGGGAGGAGGAGCAGAAGCAGCAGTTATCTCAACTATTCTTTGCACCTCACATTATGAGGTTTTGTTCTGTTTTCGTTTGTTTGTTTTGTTTTTGAGACAGGGTCTTGCTCTGTTGTGGGAAGCCCTGCAATTGGCTGCCACCTTATGTACCACCTGAACATCTGTGGGCTGTACCACCTTAACATCTGCAGGCCGTACCACTTTAAATTATGTTAATCAGCCCACCTTATGAGCCTGCGCCCAGGAAATTTGAATTGACCTATAACCATTGGTCCTACCACTGTTGCTAAGTTACCTGCTGATGTCTCAGAACCCAAATCCCTCCTCCTCAATACCCTATATATTTGTTACTCATTCCGTGAATAAATGAGACTTGATTGGAATTCTTCATCTTGTCTCCGCTCTTTGTGTCTCTTGTTCCTTTTCATCCCCACTCCCCCTCTAGGGTCTCCATGGACTTACCCACAGGCCAGGACACTCTGTAGTCCAGGCTGACCATTAAACTTGCAGCGGTCCTACTGCTTCAGCCTCCCAAATGCTGGGATTACAGGCATGTGCCACCACACCTAGCTTTGAATTATATTTCTGATAGTCAAATTTAAAAGATAATTCAAGGTAAGCTACTTTTCTTAAACTTCTGTATTAATGGAAGTGACTTAGAATAAAGATGTTACTTGATAGACTCACAAATTTTGAATTGTGAAATGTTGGATTCAAATTGGTAAGAAAATAACCTTATCTTTTCCCCAGTAGTTCTTTATTTTTCTAAGCCATTAAAAATGCAGTTACTTTTGAGTAGTTAAATCAAGATAATTTCAAGAAATAGGGAATGCTGAAAGCATGACTACTGAGGTTATAGAAAAAGGTCTCTGTAACCATCTTGAAGAATCTCTCCCTGACCAAAGAATGATTTTATAAGCATCAATAAGCAAAATAACTACACTGGATTAAATATATAAAACATGTCTAATCCTAGGTTTATAATAATAAAAGAATTCACTGAAGAATAGAGAAACTACTCATTATTCTAAATATTAGTAAACAAGGGTAAAGAACATTTACCAATAAAAATACTTACTAAAAAAAGTAGGGGGAAGAAGCAAGCATTTATTCTTTTTAGTTCAAACTAAATTTCTGCATAACCAACCAGCAGACTAGGAAAAGTTGTTCTTTATAGGTGTATTCTAGCTAACGGACAAAAAAATAAAATATTAGACTTAATATATCACCTTTTGCAACCCCTCCTAAAGTATGGATTGCTAAAATTATAGGTGAAAAGCTACTAGAAAAACTTATAAAAGAAAGATTAAAACAACCAAATCAACTGATGAACCTTAACAGCATAAAATAGAAAAAGGCAAGACTCCTTCCTGACAGAATCCAACAGGAAGTTGTTCATTAAACAAATTTTGTCAAAACTCACCTGAATCTGTTTAACACTCTGGGTTAACTATAACTTCCAAAGGAGTTTTGCTGATGGGTATTTTGTCTTAGCAACAAGAAAAATAACTAAGACAGTGATCAAGAGTTCAGAAATTCAACACAAGAACAGAAAAGAGACAAATCATCTATAAAGGAAAGCCCATCAGAATCACAGCAGATCTCTCAACACAAACACTCAAGTCAACAAGAATTTGGAGTAAAGTATTTCAAGCCCTAAAAGAAAACCTCCAGCCCAGATTGATGTACTCTGAAAAACTAATTTTCAAAACTGATAAAGAAATACGTATTTCCATGACAACGAACACCTAAATTCATGACTAACAAACCAAGACTCCAAAATGTTCTGAAGGAAGAAAAAGATAACCAAGTCTACAACTCCATGAACCCGCACAGAATGAATCTACCAGACAAGGCAAGTAAATAAACAGAGAAAGAAAAAAACCAACTGGAAAAAAACACAAGGATAAGTCAATACCTAATAGTAATCATCAATGTAAATGGTCTTAATTTACCAATCAAAAGAAAGAGAATGGATCAAGAATCAAGATCCAATAATATGCTACATACAAGCACTTTTTTTTTTGGTGGTACCTGAAATTGAACTCATGATTTGTGCTTGCCAGGCAGGTACTTGTGCCACTGAGCAAAAGCCCTGGCCCACACAAGCACATTTAAATAAAAAATAAATGCACAGATTGAAAGTCAAAGAAAATGGAGAATATTACTCCATACAACAGGAACCTGGAAAAAGCAGTAGTAGCTATTCTATTTGCAGACAAAGTAGATTTCAAGGCAAGACTGATTAAGAAAGATTAAGAAGGTCACTACATACTTGTAAAGGGAACAATTCAAGAGGAAGGGATAGCAATCATAAATATATATGCACCAAATACCTATAACTATATAAAATATTAACAGACATTAAAAAAACTAAGTACGAATGCAATTGTAATGAAGGACCTCAATACCCCACTGCTACAAATAGATCAACTAGACAAAAAAAAAAAAAAAATCAACCAAGAAATGTCAGAACCAAACCAAACTGTTGAACAAAAGGACTTAAGACATCCACAGAGTGATCCACCCACAACAACTGAATACACACTCTTCTCAGCAGTCCAAAAGAGACCACAAACTACCTCATAGAACATGCTTAAGTAAAGGCAAAAGAATTAAAATTATCCCATGTACATTATCAGACCATACTGCAACGAAATTGGAAATCAGCTGGGGGTTTAGCTCAGCAGTGTAAGTGCCTACCAGGCAAGTACGAGGTCGTAAGTTCAATTCCCGGAACCAAAAAAAAGAAAAACTGGCAATCAATGGCAAAAGAAACTAACTAAAATCAACGGGTCATAAATGAAATCAAAGGAGAAATTAAATGTTTTTACAATTAAATGATAATGCCAACACAACATACCAGAACTCATGTGATATAATGAAGGCAATCTTTAAAAAAAAGAGAAAAAAACCAAAATTTCAAAATACGATAATTGAGGTTAACAATGTTGAATACATTGCATATTGTTATCTTTATTTAGAGTACAAGATACCTGCATTTAATTGTCTGTACAATATAAGCACAAACCTTTCTTTTCAATGAATCCAGAGAAGTTAGTAGTATAACTATCTTAGCTACTATATATACACCCATACATATATATATATATATACATATACACACAAACATACATGTAATTTCTTTTAGCTCACACGAGGGAGACAATATGATGTTTACATATGCGAGCCTTATTTATTTCACTTATGAGTATGGCCTATAAAAGTCTCCAGTTAATGCTTAAAGTTGAGCAGTACTCCATTGTATAAAAATATATCTTTTTTATCCATTCTTCAGTTAATGGGCATTTAGGTTGTTTCCAAGATCTAGCTATTACAAATAGTGCTGCTATTAACATGGGTGCACATGTATCACTGTGGTACAGTGTTTTTAATTTTTAAGATACCCAAAAGGGGAATAGCCGGACCAAATCGGATTGCCTAGTGTTTTGAGGAATCTCCACACTGATTTCCAGAGTGGTTGTACAGTGGTGAAGGGTTTCTTTTTCCCCCACAGCCCCTCCAATACTTGTTACTGGTTGATTTCTTGGTAACAGCCATTATTAACGAAAGCAGTTTACAGGGGGAATTTTCAGCAGTGAAGTCACATATCAGAAAAACGGAACAAACACAAATAAATAACCCAATGTTGAACCTAATGTTGAAAAAAGAAAAGCAAGTTACACCCAAAGCATGTATGAGGGTGGAAATTATAAAGATCAGAACAGAAATTAATGCAATTGGGACTAAAAAAAAATATGAAGAATTGAAAAGTTGGTTCTAGACTTCCGGGAGAACATGGCGGACAGATAACAGCAACTACCGGAGGCTCTCTGAAAGACTCGGCTCAGAAGCCAGGAATGGTGCGGACTAAGGAGACATAAGTCGGTGGAGATATGCTCTGCTGACTCAGGAACGAACTGGGCTGAGAGAAGCCAACTTGGAATGCAGTCCTGGTGCTAAAACAGGAACAGAAAAGACTCGGTGTGGAGGCTGGAACCGGGCCATTGTAAGCCGCGATTTGGGTTTCCCGCCGCGCGGCGGCTGGCTGCCTCTACAGTGGCTCGGCAAGGAGAGAGACACGCAGAAGCTCTGAGAACGGCAATCTGCGAACGGCAGGGAGGTGTGCACTGACTTGTGGTGAGGTGAGTGAGAGAAACTGACACTCTACCACAGTTTGACTCCAGCGGAGGACTTTCTGGGCCCAAGCAGTCCTGCGGGAGCAGGGCGCAGTGGGACTCCAGCCACACATCCCCCTCTCGGGCGGGATTGGTGAAAAGTGCCTGGCCTGCATGACGCTGCCGGCGGACCTGGTAGGCTGTCCCAACACAGATCCCAGAGCCTGACGGTGGCCGGGAGGGGAGACGCGTAGGCTGCCTGGTCCGTAACTCCCTGGTGCGCAGCAGTGAGCGGGAACACCTAATTGGCGCAATTCGATCAGGCTGTGGCTGACTGGGAGAGAAGCTGGGCCTCTTATATAAGCTTGCATATATAAGGAACAGAGAAGAAGAGGCAGCATGGGAAGAGGCAGCAACAAGAAAGGCTCCTCGGCCCCCAATTCTGAGAAACAGGCAATAGCAGACACCGCACCAATACACATAAGGCACCATATAGA